TACGTGTTCATGCTTCAGGTAGTTTGACTGTAAAATGGATACAAGGATACTAAATGAGGCTAAATATCAAATTGATATCGATCATTGGATACGTAGCGCCTAAATCTCTAGGGAACAAAAAAATTATGAAACCAAACCTTGGCATTGATGTCTTTCCGCAATAGCAATCTGTCATATACTTGTATTCGATCTAAATTTCATGTATCGCTCTTTTGTTGGCGTCAAAACGAAATCTCATTAGAATTACGATAATTTTGAATAAAACTACATTCGTTACGTCAAAGCGGCCATCTTGGAGGAACTTCAACAAAGGTTTTTTCACTATGCTACTAATGCTCATTAATTCCTCCGACATGGCCGCCGGTCTTTTATTGAATGGTTCGATCAATACCTCCATTTACTGGTGGKGCTACTGGACGAGGTTCCTGCAAAACATGCAATGTTCAAATTACTGCGAGAGAAACTGTTGTAAATAATGTGCATAATACAATCTACTGAATGTATCTTACAATTCTGAGATCGTCTTTTCCATGTAAGACTACAGATAGATTCTCTTTGTCCGCCATCTTTGAGGACAGCAATGTCACGCAATCCCAGGACCCGATTAAACGGCGCTCTTTGGGAGTGCTACATCTAACATAAAGGTATAGATGTTAGTTCCCAGTATTATTTCACGCTGACCTGCCCCTAGTCTTACCTGTAGCTATTGTAGGCTAGTAGAGCATCGTTAGTACAAATCCGAGCGTTGTGGGTTCGAATCCCTGCGAGATCGAGAATTAAATTTTCCGAATTTATTTCCGAGGGCCTTTTCGGCGCCTGAAATAACTTGACCTCGTTCCYAGGCACTGTAACTTTCCACTACTTCAGTGGCTTTGGTATCACTGTAAACAAAACGTGATCAATCAGGCACGTAGGCTGCCTTACAAATTGGGGGGGGATGGGGGTTCGTTTTTGTGACGAATTATATTAAATGCTCAAAGTTCCAGAGAAATTACAATAAAAACTGGATCATTAAAGTCTGGTAGATATCATGTGTCATATATATATTGCTTTCCAATAGTTCATCGATTTGCCTCCATAGGGAGTCATTTTATTGGGTTTTATCAACAGGCGTAAGAGAACCCTCAAGKATAGAGGGCAAAATAATATAGTACCCAATGGAAACATCAATATCAGTACCTTTGACCCTGGTTGTCATTTCAGGACATCAGTTCGCGCTATATTAGAGCGTTGAGTTTCTCATGCCCTAAAATTAGGACATGAAATGTTCTAATGCAARATAGACGTGAATGTAGCTTAAGATAATCGCTTCTCAACAGTATTTCACAGGTTTAACGGATTTGAGATATTGGGGTGATTGTCTTGAAACCTAGCCGTTAGGGCCTTTTTAACAAAACGCACCAAAGTGAAAGTATGGGGGTGGTCATCTTCTTGCTTAAGCATAGCCAAAGAACTTTAGGTAGTTATGTTGTGTGCAGATCTCATCTATGGAGTTTGAATTTGCTGGCGAAGGATGGTCACGTGACTAGTACTAGGTCAAAACCCTAGCCCAAAGCCCCCSATGTAGACCTAGCACAAGTCTAACCCTAAGCCAAATCTTAACCCCAAGCCTAAGACAACAATCCTAACCCTAATCATATGTTAGCCCTAATCATTAACTGTCGTAATAAATTATATCCTACTCAACAACTGCTGCTAACGTTCAACATTTATCAGAGCACAGTTGACTATTAGCAACTTTCTTGACCCAAGGAAATATAAGAAAACAATGACATTGTTTCTCTTTTTATTCATATTTTCATTCGTTACAGTGGATAACAACTTTAATAGCTCCACCAGCCTGGGTCCTCGACGTCTCAAAAGCTTGTAACGAATCCTCCAGCTTAAAGTGATGGGTGATGAGAGGTTTGACGTTGATTGAGCCTGATGCAACCATAGCGAGGGCAGCAGGATAACTACAACAAATCAATGACAATGATGGAMTTCAGTTTGGAGTATACAATCACAGAACGCACAGTATTATCTGATAGAAAATTATGCACCGAAGGGGAYCTTGGGGYCTGGTGCTCGATGTCCAGACTCTGGAACCRACATTGAATATTTTAAGCTACAATTGTAGGTTGTGAAAACTATTACAAAAGATAAATTAGATGAATTAATCGAAAATCATTTAGAATATATATAATTCTAAAACAAAACTTGTTGTCGAAAAGCGATGTATTTGATGGGATACTGAGGAGTGTTACAATTTCCATCAATTTGAGAAAAAAATTAAAAAAATCATCAATACAGTAATATGGTTACACCTTTTTTATTTTATTTATAAGTATCTTTTAGGGTCGTTATTTTCGAAAAAGGTTCGTCGAATACCCCTTAAAACTTTTTCAAGGCAGTTAAGATTCCTGACCTCAGCTTGCACAATGCTCGTCTCTTCTTTACGATGTAACAATAATCAAATAGAAATTCAGTTTGGTATTTGTTGATCACCATTGCCAAGAATATGTTGTCCTTGTGTCTTCAAAGGATAGCTAATCTATTGCTAGTGTTGGGTTGCAATAAAGCCCTGATGAACTTGATCAGTTCTTTATATCTGATATAGAACTGATTAATAAAACATCAGTGCTTTATCGGGATATAAAGGCCCATCANCCATGAATGGCGACTGACAAAGGTTCCAACAAAGCTGCTTCCTCGAAACTCACGTGATCTGGGATCCTTGAAAAAACAGACGTCTAACGTCAGTACACATAAAGATCATATGCGTGCTTTGTTTTGATATAGTTTTAACGAATAATTGTTCTGCACACTGCTGACAACCTCTCGCCTGATATGATACGGGTATTTAAGTTACATCGAGGCTGCATTAAACTCCTGAAAGAGATTCGATTACGCAAAGTTTTGCTTATCTTAAAATTCTGAAACGAAAAACCTTTATGTTCTGTTAAGTCGCAGTCAGGATTCAACATTATGAATAGTTGTCTCTGACTTGTATTTTACGATATTATAACAGCGGTTTCAGTCCGCCATAATGTGCACAGACTTCATGCATATTCTATTCCTAACCCCCATGTGATTTTCCTTCCTCTTCAACCTCCCTTTTAACGTTTTTCTACTATACAACATCACATACTTCATTTTTACATCTCCTTTCTTTTTATTCTATTCTACCTCTCGAACAACGCGGCCATTTTTTTTCCTTTTTATCCTTCACTTTCTTCTCCAACCCTTCCTTAATCACTGGCATGAAACTCACTCTACCAAGAAAACTTTCTTACTTGTAACAGAAACCTTTCTTACTTGAAACAGAAAACTTTCATACTTGTAACAGAAAACTTTCTTACTTGTAACAGAAACCTTTCTTACTTGAAACAGAAAACTTTCATACTTGTAACAGAAAACTTTCTTACTTGTAACAGAAACCTTTCTTACTTGAAACAGAAAACTTTC